CAGTGTATCATTCGCACACCAAAAAGAAAATAGAATTGTTTGGTTGCCTCATCAACAAGCTAGATATAATTTTGCATTACAATGCAACAAAAAGTGGGACTGACACTTTCGATCAGCTGTGTCATGCTCATACCGTAAGCAGAAAGACGAATCGTTGACCAATGAGGATTTTTTTTTGGAACGCTGGATCAAGCTATTGTTAACGCTCGCATTCTTTTACAATGCAAAATGATCAATAGCAATCAAGAATGAACATTGAAATCTTCTAAATGTTTGTAGAAAATTTATATGTATGTCGTCACTTCGTTTTTGCTTCAGCGCCAAACGTGTCCAACGATTCGCAATGACATAAAATTTGGATTTGATGCAATATTGACTGAAAGCCAAGAACGATCTCAAGCATCGCCACAAAGGATTTATTTGCAGAAAAGAAAGCGTTGCATGATTCGCAGAAGAGATGTCGATAGAAAGATAAAAGAAGTTTATACAAGCTGCGGGCGACTAATGTGCGACGAGTATCGTGCTTTCATGTGCGTTGACTGCGCAGATCAAGAATAAAAATGTTTTGAAATAATTATTTAACCCTTATTCACCACATATTTTGTAAAAAAACATATTACACGCAAAAGAAAAATAATATAATTAATTTTTATTGAAATGACCAGTAAAAAATGTGCCTTCAATTTTTTCGAAATATCGCACCTTCGGTTGTCAAAATAAATACCTTTTTTGGAATGTGTATTATTGTAATTATTTTTATCTTAGAGAACATTGTTTCAAGAGTATCCAGTTAAATTTTTATGTTAAAATATTAAAAAATGCAAAAGTTATTGAATTTTAAGCCAAAAACGGCATTTTCTGAGCTTTTTTTTACGTTTCAATTTTTTTAAATTATTGCAATCATTGTTTATGACTCGGACCAAGTTTATCCTACTTGTTAATGTCAATATAACATATATAATTTTTTACAACATAAAAAAATGAATAGTAGCATTGCAGCAATTGTTTAAAGTAGTAGGGTCAGATTGACCCCATGTGTAGCGTATGTTTCATATTG